AAAAAAAAAAATATATATATATATATATATATATATATATATATATATAAAGACACCTTTATAGAAAAGTATAAAGATGTAGAGTAAAAGTATACCAGGCATTGGTGCTAAAAGAATAAAATGATACATGAATATTAAATATCCTGTGAGTTTCACAGGATAATTGTGATTTACAGAGAAGCCTCTTGCTTAGATAAGTAAAATAAATGTATGTGTGTGTTTCAGAAGGATGAAACTCTCCCAAATGTTAGCCACTCAACAGCTATTTTTATCTACTTTGGAACTTCTGTTGTTTTTAAGCTGGAACCCAGTTTGAAATACTGAAGATAAAATTTGACAACTGGACAGTCTGACTGGCTACTGATGGCTAGGATGTGGTGATGACATTTAAAGCGGCATCGTTCTTTCCTGCAGGAATGTGTGCGCGTATCTTTAATGTCAGCACTTGCCTCTGTGATGACACTTGCTAGATTTGTTGGTGTCGTGCTATTTCGAGGACGGTTATGGTGATTTTTATAACACAACACCCCAATATTCCACTTACTATTTAAAAGTAAGTTGTCAAAGCCCAGTTTTTATTGTCCTGCTCACTTCTTTGTATACTACGATCATCTGATTCTGTTTTCATTTGAAAATACAAAATTCTGAAATGTGTCATAATGAAGAAGTGCACTTCTTTAACCTTGAAATCATTCCTGTGAAAAATAACTGTTTGCTTGTGTCTGACGGTTCCCAGGTTTCTGGGAAAGACTTGACTCAGAGCCTGGCTAATAAATAACAGGAAACAACCTTGGAGGGAATGCGTTGTGCTCCATTACAGCCAGCGTCTCTCTGCCCAGATGAGGCCCAACGAGACATCTCTGGCCAACTGCTGCTTTTAAAAAATCTCCCAGCAGGATTCTTTCTTAGGCTCCAGTCACAGAGAGATTAGATATGGCTGAATACTCTTTCCAGCCCAGTGAAGTGACAGGAAGGGGTAGTAAGGAGAGCTGGCTGAGTTGGTTTTTGTTTTTGTTTTGTTTTTTACACGAGAGACACACTTTTATACAACACACCTGTATCAAGTTGGACCAAGAGTTATGCGGTTAATATACATAGGTAGAAAAATTTAATACTAGTATAACCAAAAAGCTGGCCAGTAAATTCCACAAGCATTTAATAAAAGTCAATGACAAAGAAAATTTATAATATGCAGAAGGGCTATCTGTCTATATTCAGTTTCCAACTGGTATGTCCACTTCCACCCCAGCTCGCACACCTGCACCATCCCAATCACATTGGTCTCTAGTGCTGTCTGCCCGACATCTGCCATCGCTCCTTTAAATTCTGCATATTTAGGGGTTCTCCATAGAGCTTTGGAGCTTAATATAATTGGATCTTTTTTCAAATTTGTGGGAGGCGTAGTTGTCTTCCTTTTAATCAGGTAATTTTTTAATTAAGGTGATTATTATCAAGGTGCTTTGGGACTGTTACTCAATTAACAAATGAGTCTACTTTTTAAATTTTTTTTGTTTTCTTTTGCTTTTTAATATATCAGGTGTCTCAGTTGGGACCCTATTGGTCATTTTTTTATCTCCTCTCCACAACTCCCTCAGCCAAATGGTTGGAAGCATTGGCTTAGCTGTACCTGTGTGTAGCGTACTTTGGGGACATAAGTACTCTTTTTACTTGTTGGGTTCTTTTGGAGTAAGTTTCTTAATTTGCAAAATAGTGACATTCTCTCAGTCCTATGGTGTTCTAAAGCAAAGTCTTATCTGGTTTGAAATGCCACTGAAAATGCAGATTTGCTAGAAACCTTAAAATGTATATTTGGCAGTACAAGTAGAGATATTAATGTTAATTTAAACACTATCTTTTAATAGGTATTATATATAAAACACCCACTTCTATACCAGGGGTAAGAATGCTGACAGAGAGAAGAGAGGAACTTTGCTTTAAGGAAAAGTATGTAGCCAGTTGCCTGGAGAAGATGGTCAACTAAATTGTGGATTCATTTAACTGTAGCATATCACCCTCAAAGATGTGTCCAAAGGGCTTGATTTATTAATAGGGAGAACTGGGCAGGAAATAAAAAGGGACACACCCTCTCTGTCCATCAGAGTAACATTCCCCATGCAGAATCAAACCAATCCAATCTATCACTGGTTCTTCAATTAACTATAGCAAGTCTTAACTTCATATTTTGACTCACACTATGTCTTTTGATGTTATGTGTTGTTGGAAAAGTTGTAACTGATGCATGAGTGTCCTCTCTGTTCAAACTGTTTCTAATATATAATTTCCTTGTCCAGTGTTCTTTCAATAAGGGTACCTAGTCCTTTGAGGATACTTGTCAGAATGATGCAAATGAAGGTGTGGATAATTTATTTATCAAAAGATATACTGCAACGCCCCACCTACCACAGTTGCCGTGATGAAGAGGACAATGTAATTATTATTTTTATTGCAAAATGGAACATTGAGTTTAAATACGCTTTTGGAAGTAGGGATTAGTCTCACAGGCGTAGCCCTCCACTGAGATAGCCTCTTGGTGAGGTGGCATTTTGCAAGGTTTTGAGCTGGAAAACCTTCTGATCTAAGAATTCCCCTCACTCTCAGCCCACCCCAAACCACAAGAGCTCTCCCCCACTCACTCCATAAATAAGCATTAATAAATATAGGTTTCTCCGAGATGATGTTCTATCTCAACAAATATGTCTCTCCAGTACCATTAAAAGATAGTGCTGAGAAAGTATCAACTTGGGAAAATATATATTACTGTTTAAAAAAAAAAAAATCTCAGAAGGCACTGACAAAAGAATTGCATTGGCCTCATTAGGTAGTCAAAACACACTGGAGCCTCCTGACAGTGGATCGGGCCATGAAAGACTCACATGTGGGAAGAATGCCAACTACCTTGAATTTCTAAGACTACCCTCTATGGGAAACAAAGAGGAAGAAAGAATCAGAAAATTGCCCAGCTTCCGTGTACTCCATTTGGACTTAGGCAATGCATTTGCTTTTGAACTAGCTCTCAAGCTTCACTCTCAGCCTCCAGGGTGCCCACTTCCCTTGTTATTTGTGGACTTTTTCTCGTAGACACCTGTTGGGGACTGTATTAATAAGACCCACCGTAGAAAGAGAAAACACATTTCCCAAGCCAAGAAGGTGAGAGCTATTTTTTTCTAGGGCCCTTGTTAATCTTTGGGAGCCCAGCATCTTCTGTGGCAGAACAAAGGCGATACAGGTGTAAATCCATATTTTTCTCCCCCCACTCCACAAAGAAAATGTCATCGATGTGTGCGTGTTCAGCTACATTTATCTTAAGAGAAGTGCTAGAGTATTTCTTCCTTCCACCCCGAGGTTTTAGAACTTGATTCCCATTGTTTTCTAGCATCATTCTCAATAGAACCCCGCTGTTTGGCCACGGCCAAAATTAGCTTGAATGGTACCGATTATTGAAAGGGAGTCTGTATTTGCGGTAATACAGAGAATGCTAGTTTAGAAATGAGCCTGATTGCACGGTTCATTCTGTTCTCCTTTGTAGAGCCAGGCTGCGGCCCACTACAAAGGCACGAAACATGCCAAGAAGCTCAAAGCACTGGAAGCCATGAAAAATAAGCAGAAATCTGTCACTGCCAAGGACAGCGCAAAGACTACCTTCACCTCCATCACTACCAATACCATCAATACCAGCTCTGACAAAACAGGTTAAGCGACAATCTCTGTTGTTGTTGTTGTTGCTGTTGCTGTTGCTGTGTCGCCATCGTCGTCCTTTGGGGCTTCCTCCCCTGTCTAACCCTGTGTCTGTTGCGTATGTTCCTGCCGCATTGATCCATGCTTGATCCATCTTTCTACGTGATGGTAATCGTTCCCTCTTGTTTTTCTGGTACCCTTAAGACACCAAAATAACCCCGAGTTATACGGCACAGTTTGCATTTGGAACAGTCCTGTGGCTGTTTTAAAGCAACATGAGAATCAAAGGCATTTGAAGCCATGTCCCCAGTAACCCCTTTTGAGAAGTGAGCCTTTTCGATGTGTGTTGTTTGCATCCAGCATGCAGCACCCCAGCCTGCGACTGCATGGCCGGTGTGATTGAACTGTGCGTCCACAGCAGACTATGCCAAATGAATCGAGAAGGCCCCAATAAGGGCATTATTACCGACAGGCCTTATTCTCATAAATCCCAAGCATTGCCGTGTTTTAAGTAGAGGAGGTGCAATTCTGGGCTTGTTACGGCTGGGTAACCTTTCCTCTGCATACACAGGTAAGTGTTATTGATGCCAATTACTCTTTTTAACAGAGTCTTCACAGTGAAATAATGGCCTCTGAATGGCCCCTTGGGATAGCTCTTGCAAACAGCCAGTTTATTTGCTTCAGGGGAAGCCAGTGGGGTTTCCCTAAGCTGACATTTGAAAATAGGAGAACACGGGTCCTTAAATTTTTCATGAAAGGAAGTCATGTGTGATTCATGGATGTACATTTAATAAGTCACTGTCTAAAAGAGAAGGGCTGGTACATGTTTTCCAGTCCCTACAAATGGTCATGATCAGAAAGCTTTCATTTTGTCATAGATGGTAATGTCTTAACTAGAAGACTCTTCTGGCCATGAATGATGAAAATATAAATGCTACATTGAACAGGTAGAACAAGTTATAGTGACTTTTTGATACCTGGTTACATCCATTAGGCACATATAGGCTACTCAAAGGATCTGGGGAGATGCTTGCTCCCATGTTAATCTTTAAGGGGTTAATGATGTTGTCTCTAAGTTCCCATGACAACATCATTGTATTAGTGGTAGATGCATCAGGCTGTCCTCCCTGAGAACCCTGTGTACTCTCTGAAGCTGAGTGCCTCTGTCATCTTTGTACCCTGTCACCAGGTGTAGGTGCTGAGTAAAATGTCTGTTGGATGGCTGAATTTCCTCTCACCCCCTCAACTCTCTGATTCATTCAATTTTGTGTCACAACATACTAAAGGTAAAAAAGAAGTGCTTGTCATCCTCACCTCTTTGGTATCCAGAGTAAGAGCTGGATTATGCTATTTTATTAATTTAGATGTAAAACTTACAGGGAAAGCATTAATCTTTTCTCTGCTAATTTAAAACATACTCCCTTCTTTTGGGGGCTGTAGGGGAGTAAGCAGTAATGAAGCAGGTAAGTGTAATTTTTGTTCCCAGGTATTGGGGCACAAATTGGCATCCCTAAAGCCATACTTTCCATAAAGAAATATCTTTCATTTGCAAAAAGATTGTAGGTAAGGAGAACAAAGAGGTGGGTTTAATGTAAAGGGTTGGTTTAAAGAGATGAGTTTGCTATAAAGAGTTTGATGTAAAGTTTTTGCTTGCCCCCAGACGTTTCTATTCTTAGACACTTTAATCAATACCGACTATTTGGGTTACCTTGACTCCTCTTTAAAATGTAAAAGTCCCTGTCACATTGAGGATGCACATCATTTAAAAGTATATACATACATAGCAGGTAGAACTGCTTACTTAGGAAAGACTCCACACGTATTGTCTCTGTTATGAACGCTTTCTTCTATTCCTCAGCTTAAAGACCAAAATGTAAAGGGTGGCAGTCAGCAAGGCTCTGTCCCTTTGGAAGTTGAGTGGAAACAATTTTTGGATTGGGCTGTGTGTGACAACCTACATAAAATAAACTGATTCCCAATGGAGGTACCAGAACTTGCCAGAAACACCCTTTCAGTCTGGAGCTAGAGAAAATTCCAGGAAGGCAGAAGGGAGAGTAAAATCTATAAAGTTGGTACAAATATGTTAAAGCGAAAGGAAGAAAGTGATGAACATCAAAAAAGACATTGCTCTCCTAATCTATGAGGATCTATACTAAAAAGTAAATAAATAACCAGTACCAGAGGTTAAAAGACTAAGGATTCTAGCACACTTACCAGGTATTTTAAGCCAAATTTTATTAAACTGGAATTTCCACAAAACTGTCTATAAGAAGTAGCCCAAGAATGCTCTTTCATGTTATAGATTATTATCTCATTTGTATTGCAGTATAAATCAGAGGCACCTATGCTAGTCAATTGGAGTGTTTATAAAAAACATTACTTGTCTTTTTATTACTGCCTGTTTACTCATGCTGATTAGAACGGAGCACAACCCTGAAAACAAGATGGGTCTCTGAGGTATTTTCCTAGAACAGTTAAATACTTGGCGGCAGACAGAGAGAGAGAAGACTCTAGAATTACAGTCTGTGTATTTTTTAATAAAAAAATATTAACCATTTTGCTCAGTGCACAAGGTTGTTTTGTGATTTTTGGCTTATCCATAAAAGGTATAGATGTATTAAATCACATTTTACTAATTTTGCTAAGTTATTCTTAATAAAAATAATCCAAATATATAAAAAATGATTTGCTTTTAAAAAGGGTAAGTAGACAGTGATTTGGTAGACAAGAACCTTAAGAGAAGGTTGGCAACAGTAGTGAAAAGGGTAAGAAGTAATGTGGACTTGAATTAAAAAATGGACTTGGAGGTTATTCTGGGTTTCTCAAACTTGTAAGAAATAGAATGCTCATAAAAAACAAATTTTCATCCCAAATCTACTTGATAAAGGGAGAGTTGTGAAAACAATTCCTCTTAAATTCTTAAATCATATATTATGTGTTTTAATTGCTGCCTTGGGCTAACAAATATGTCTAAATGACACATTGGGTAAGCTTTTATTCACTAATTTTATGATCTTGGAATTCTCTTTTATTACTTAATGTCAGTCTGCATGCTGGAGTGGTGAGTAATAGAGAATGCTCCGTGATCAACCACCGACTGCTCACACAAAGCCTAGTTCCCCTATCTCTAGGCAAGAAAGATGCTCCCTAACATGAAGTTGGTGAATTTATAGAAAGAAAAATTTACAAGATGAAAGTAATATTTTTCAAAGTAATTTGAACATTCAAATCTTTGGTATCTGAGGGTGGTTGCTATTTATTACAGGATATTTCATGCAGCAAACATCTTCAAAATTGGTCAGAATAACTTTGATCTAGCAAGTTTTGTTTTTTTACAAGAGTTTTATACAGAAAAAGTTCTGATAAAAATTAAGAAATTATGCTCGAAGTAACTTGACAAAAATAACTTACTTGGTGTTTATTTTTTCCTTTAAAATGACAAATTCAGAATTGTGGAGTTTAGTCTTATGCTAGGCCATCCTCTGATTCTTTCTTTACTTTCCCTTTTTGGGAAATCTTATTTATTGCTATCGACTGTCAGTTAGGTTAGACTAGATTATACTGCATTAATAAACAACTTCTAAATCCCAGTGGCTTTTACAGTAATTAGTTCTTTCTCACTCACACAACACATCAGCTGTGGTTTTCCTTCCATGTTAATTTAACTCCAGGGCCAGGCTAATGAAGCAGTCACTAGCTGAATATTACCAATTCTATGGAAGACACAAAAGGGTCATGAATCAATAGGCTTTTAGAGCTTTTTAATGGAAGTAAATTTACAACATCTCTCTCGTTTCCACTGACAAATCACATGGCCAAACCTGATTGTAATGGGCAAGGAAAATCATCTCCTCCAGGGTGGGGTAGCAGCATTAGTGAACAACAAAATACAATATTCTATCATGGCTTCAACTATCCCTTGTGCTTAGATGTCTGAGCATTCCACATTTCTAGCCTTGATCTTTTCCTCAGTTCTGACCTAATTTTTCGTGCATTATTGGTCACTCACTTGGATGGTTTGTCAGCTGTTCTATTTGACAGGTTAAAAAAAGAAAATAGAACTCATCTTGACATCATCCCAACTTTCTCTTCATCCCGTCTTTCCTAGTTTTATTTTTGGTCCTGTGGTTCAGAGTTGAAACCTTCTAGTTGTCTTTGACTGTTCTCGCTATCTCAGTTCACACACTGATTCGGTTGTTGGAATATACTCCCCTCACAGTCCCAGAAAGCACTTTTCACTCTTTCACACATGGCGACTACCTATTTCCTGACATCCCAGGTCTGTGTCTTGCCCAGACAATTGCCCTAGCCTCAGTTCTTGCCCCTTGACAGTCATCTTCTCCATCCTACTGTCTAGTTATGCCATGCAGTTAATAGGCCACAGCACTTACCCATTTAGAAACCTTCCATTTATCTTTATGCTGAACTTCATGGCCCTCTGTGATTTGATCACAACCTACCCTTCCAAACTTTTCTTTCATTGCTCACCTGGAACATTTTCCACTAGAGACACACTTTTTTGTCTTTGTTTGTTAATATTGTTCTTTTAAATTTCTTAAAAATACATCTCTTGCCTGGCTGGGCGTGGCTCAGTGGTTGAGCATCGACCTAAGATCCAGGCTGTCGAGGTTCGATTCCTGTCAGGGCACATACCCGGGTTGTGGGCTCGATCCCCAGTCCAGGGCGTGCAGGAGGCGGCCGATCAATGACTCTCATCATTGATGTTTCTATCTCTCTCTCTCCCTCTCCTTTCCTCTTTCTGAAATCAATAAAGATATATTTAAATATATATATATATGTGTGTGTATATATATATATATTTCCATCTGCTATGAATTCTCTTAAGAATCCATACTTTTCTAACTACCCTATCCTATTTTTCTTAAAATATAATTTTTATGTCTTTACCTCCCTTTATTGCTAGATGACATTCGTTAAGAGTACATCCTTGAATAATCCTATTATTTTTTCTTTACAGAGTACTTTTTATATAGAAGATAATTAGTTTTAAAAC